ATGCTATTCCTGTAGAAACTCATCAAGCATCAAAGGGGCCCTTCCGTGCCAATTACATCCATTTGTTCATAGAGCTTATTAAAATGCTTGGTAGTTATAAGCCACCTAGTTACTTTGAGGCTCAGAAGCTCCGGAAAGAGGAACAAAACGTGGGCTGAAATATGCTTATTTAGGAGGCTCTGGCCTTTGACAGGTAACTGTTTAATTAGCTCAGCCTGTGTGAACCATGACTTACACCTATCTGATTTGAATAGTTTGTTGCTGCTATGGGTTCATTTGATGTGATGTTTCTTAACCATGATCTTGTATTTTAATCTTGACCTCTTGGCCAGATTTAGTGAGCACACAAGTCACAAGAACAACAAACGGAAACTGAGGCACAGGGAGCTTAAATAAAGTAACTAATGAGTGAAGGTGCCAGGAATGTCCTTGGAAACTCATGCTGTTTGACGCCGCATTTGAAAGCATGATTTTCACCCTTAACTGTCCTCTCCTTCTGCATTTCTGATCGTGGGGAATGGAGCCCTCCATTCATGCATTCTGCCCAGTTAGGAACCTGAGAGTTTGCCTGGTTGCTCCTGTCCTCCTCACATCTGGCAGCATGAGGCCCACACCCTAAGTGTTATCTCTGCCCCCACAACCACTGCTTCAGTTCATGCCACATCATTTCCTGCCAGAACTATTATAGTAGCTCCTAATTGGTCTCCTGTGTTCATTCATTCATTCAACAAGTCCTAATTAATCAGCCACTACGTGCCAGGCTTTGATGGTCCTCCTGGGCCACCTCCCCTTGAGGCGCAGAGCAAACTTTCCAAAGAATGCATTGAGCATGCCACTCCCATGCTTAAAAAAGAATCTAATTGGTTTTAAAGGATTTCTATCAATTTAAATAATCATATGCAAGATGAATTCTGAATGGTTTGAAATGCACATTTGTTTAGTATGTTCATGGATTTTTTTTTAGCCAAAAAAAATTCTAGGAAGCCATTAGCAAAAATAAGCAAAAAGGGATACTTTTATCTTCCCCACAACTTGTCATACACAAAATTGCAGTTGCCCAAATTGTTCTTATGTATGCATGAGAATGGAAAATGTTCCACTACAAGTGTTGAAGTCAAATCTCTTTTAAAAACTGCTTAATGGAACTCTCAAAAGTCAGAGATGGCCAGGCACGGTGGCTCATGCCTGTAATCCCAGCACTTTGGGAGGCTAAGGCGGGAGGATCATTTGAGGTCAGGAGTTCGAGACCAGCCTGGCCAACATGGAGAAACCTCATCTTTACTAAAAATACAAAAATTAGCCAGGTATAGTGGTGGGTACCTGTAATCCCAGCAACTCAGGAGACTGAGGCAGGAGAATTGCTTGAACCCGGGAGGCGGAGGTTGCAGTGAGCCAAGATGGCACCACTTCACTCCAGCCTGGGTGACAGAGTGAGACTCTGTCTCAAAAGAAAAAAAAAAGTCTAAGATGACACCTATGAGACAGGTGTTTCGTTGTTGTTTTTGTTGTTTGACATTCTTTTATTATACTCAAGCCATTCCTGGCAAATAGAACATATTAAGCTTTAAATTATTGTTTAAATTATTAAACTATTATTAAATTAAATTTGTTTAAATTAATGTCAGTTATTGTTGTTATTGATGATACTATTATCATTATCATTATTATTATTCCTATAGCATCCTGGAAGAACTCAGGTCTTCCTGACTCCTCTGAGTCTTTGTTTCTTTCAGTCCTCCTGAGTACAACTCTACTGCCTTCTTCTGAAAATAACATTTTTATAGTAACTCTTCAACTCCAAGGGAGTGCTAAATTCTTAAGCCAAATAATATCCATTTGTGTGGCATTTAAAGACTCCCTCCACCTCCCATGGTTCTTCCCTTTAGATACCCCTTCCTTCTCTCTCCACTTGGATCGGCATCTCCATCATTCAAAACACATGGCACTGTCTCCCATCCTCGCTGTTCTGCTTGCCTGGAACCTCCCTCCCTCCCCCAACTACCATGGCAGAATACCAGAGAGGTTTGGACTGAGACAAACCCTCCTACTTACTAGCTGCATGACTGGGCAAATGAGTTACACCCTCTGAGCCTCAGACTCCTATCCTGAAACATATGTATAAATACCTACCTCATACCATACAGTTATTGTGAGATCAAATGAGACCATGGATACCCAGGGCCCAGCACCTAGTAAGAGCTCAACAGATGCTAGCTGTTGTTGTTGTTTGTTGTTACACAATTCCAAACCCAATTCTTCCATGAAACTTTAATTATCTACTCTCATCTACACATCAATCTCTCTGTTTTCCCACCTTCAACTATACCTATGGTCATGAGTTTATAGTAATTAAATATTATTTCTTATGCATGCTTCTCCCCAAATAGACTGCAAAGTTAACTAGGACATAGATCATGTCTTATGCCAATACAAGTGCCTACAGGAGCCAGACAAGGAACAGAAAATAGACAGGGTACAAAGAAATAGGGAGGAGTGAGGACTCTGGCCAACTCCAGGGCACATGTAGCTCTGGCCAATTGTTGTCGTGCGGGAATATGGGTCCAGTGTTGCCAGATCTCAGCTTTTTCAAAAGAAGCCAGAAATCCAGATTCTTATGTGCAATGTCCTGAATTTTAAAAATTGGGCCAACACTGTTCAGGCCAAAACAAAGCATGTCTGTGAGACCCCAGTTTGAGAAAGCTGTCTTATTCAGATGGCCCCTACAAGTTTGTACGCGAGCTGGTTATTTGGACCTCTGAACTCACTTTTATAGAGAAACAATGCCGTGAATGGCAGTTAGGGGTCCAGGCTAACCTCCCAGGCTGATTTTCATTCATACTGGACCTGAAGCTTAGGATAGTCCTAAGAAACCTGTTCTTTATGTGAAACCCTTTTCTCACCGGAAAACACACTTAGAATTCCAATTTATGATGTCAAAGACATACATCAGAATGTAAGCCTGTTCAGGACAGGACCATTGTTTTGTTCACCACTGTTTCCTTAATGTCTAGAACATCGCCTGGCACTTAGTAAATACTTGTTGAGTTAAAGGTTATCTATGTCTTTGTCCATCTGTCTACCATTAATCTGTTCACTGTGTGCAAACATGAACTATCTTGCTCACTGTGATATCCCCAGTGCCTGGCAGGTGATAAGATCAATAAATATTTGTTGAATGAATAAATGACTGAAATAATCTATCCATAAGACACTTAGTGACCACCTACTGTGTGCCAAGGAATATGCTGTATCTCAAGGATGCAGAAGTGACTCAGACACTATCCCAGCCTCAAGGAATTTGATCACCTAGAAAGGATTACATCAACTGTTTCTGGGAACATTTCTAACAACCATCCCAAGTGACTCAGTGTTCCCCATCCCAGAAGACGGGGAGTGGATGAGATGATCGGGGACTGTTCAGCACCAGGTTTTGTCTTGGTGCTGACAGGTCTGTGTCCCTAGGGTTGTGTCCCCCTCTGCGGGGTTTGGATATGAAATGATTGAACTGATGTTCTTGCAATCACATGTTGGAATGAGTTGAACAAGCGCTGCCCTTTCAAGTGGGCACCTTGGGGGGCCGTGTCCTCATTCCACTTCACTTACAACAGTGCTGGGCCACTTCTTTGGCAAATGCTCTCAGAGGGAGTTTTGAAGCCACTTGAGGACATTTGTTTCATCACTTTGGAATTACGCCTTATTTTTGACCCAAAAAATTGGGGCTGGGGGATGGGTTTCCAGTTACTTTATCCCCCAAACTTGCTTCCAAATCACTTTGGGTTGTTTCCTAAAATCTAGTTAATGACCAAAGGAGAAATGTTTCTGTTGGTGAGTTGATTTAGCCGTAGGTGCCCCAGGCTTCGAAGGCATGACCCTAAGAGAAGTTCCCAAATTGCCTTGTGCCACAGCAGTTTTCTTGGGAAAGGTATTTAACTTCCAGAGTGCCTAGGACAATGGAGGCAAGATACATTTGGATGCCTACATTCTGGTGTTTGGGTTAAAGAATAATAAATTATTTAAACCCTGTATCTAATTTTTGTTTATATCCCCAATATCTAGCACAGAGTCAGGACATATCGTGCCCAAAAATGTTTTCTGGAGAGGAAGAATGAATTATGAGGAGGTCTGACGTCTTCTCAGTGCTCCCCATGCACGTGCCAGGCACAATGCGGATGCTTGTCACACATTACCTCATCTAATCATTATAACCACTTTAGAAGGCACTTACAATTCAGTCCCTCCAAAAGGAAACTGAGGCCTGAGCTTCATTAAGTAACTTGCCCAACGTCACCAAGCCAGCAAGTGACAAGGCTGGGATGTAAACCCAGTTGTAGAAAATCTCTCCTATAGAATTCCTAACAGAGACTCAGTAAGAAGGTAATGGGTATAGAATCATTACCCCTAGCACAGCAGAGAAGAAGAGGATTCTAAAGTAATCACGGAGCCAACTTCCTTCTCTGGTCATGAGACCTCCCTTCAGTCAGCAGATTAGTGGCTGTACAGCTGTATAGGCCTCTCTCAGGGCATTGGTTTTCCAGACAATCCCCCTCCATTGCGTTTGTCAGCCAAGGAGCTCCAAGATGTTGACACATCCTCCTTTGGCTTTTAGCTATTACAAGTGGCTCCTTAAGTGGGTCTGTGATTCATTCCTGGCTGATTGGGGCACCCACAAGACCCTATGTAGTTTTTGGAGTTTGCAGGTATCTGATCTAGCCAGAACAAGGCCAGGCCAATAACAGTACAGAGTAGAGGATCTGTGACTTTGGGCTGAAAAAGTAGCCTCGTGTTATACCCAAAGGGGCCAGGATTCTGACACTGCCAAGCCACTCATGCCAGGCTTGACCTTGGGTAGCTTGCTTTGCCTTCCTGGGCCCCAGCTTCTCCACCTGTAGAAAGAACGCGATTTTTAAGGTCTGCCCATCTCTGGAGGACTAGAAAGAACAGACCGTTCTTGCTTGGGGAAGGTAACACAGTTTTTGCTCATTGGGCGTTTATTTCCCTAGGCTGGAGGAGAACTATGAGATTGCAGAGGGGGTCTGCATCCCTCGCAGTGCCCTCTATATGCATTACCTGGATTTCTGCGAGAAGAATGATACCCAACCTGTCAATGCTGCCAGCTTTGGAAAGGTGAGTCCAACCTCATCAGGCTTGTCCTCCCCACCACCCCAACTTTAAGTCATTTATACACGGTTTTAAAGCATTTTAGCTATATATTTTTTAAGTTATCAAAGTACTTACTTTGGTACTTTGACAACTTCAACTTCACTGTAATACTTTGCTATCAAAATTTCAAACAATTCAAAAACATTGTAAAGTAAGAAGGGTATGTCTAACTTGAATTTCCTCAGTACTTAATTTTCACAAAGCAACTTATTTTCTCTGAGGGGCAAATATTGAACTCAAAAGTGTGTTACACGGATGTCAATCAACCTGGGACAGGCAACCTTCTTGGCTTAGTCATTGGAGAAACTGGAAATGGCCCTGTATCCTTAGATTGGAGGTGTGGGAGTCCTCTGCAAGGAGGGGTACTATTTGCATTATCACCACAGTCCTAACTGTTCTCTTTCCACCTTATAATAAAAATACAATCCACATTTAGAGCCATGTCTACAAAAAATTGTTAGCACTGATCATTCCCATTTAATAGGCCAAGGAAAGCTGTTGGGACATTCTTTAAGACTGATCATTTATTTATTCGATGGCTAAAAATCTGTATTTTACACCAAAAAAACACCCAATTTGAGTCAACACAGCTAAACCCTTCCTCCTTTTGTTAGCTTCATTTTTCTACGTGTAATTTTTCCTGCATCTGCTAACAAAAATAGGCTTGTTCTGTACCACGATTCTTTATCAGTTTTCTGAGTGCAGGAATACGAAGGGCTGAAATGGCAGAAAGAGGTCAGTGTATGAGTTTCAGGAATTCCCTTTTCAGAGCCCCAGTAGATAAATCATCAGTAGGAAAAAACAAAGAGCAGTGTTAGGGCTGGGCCAACCACCCTGGAGAGCCCAAAAACGGAGTGGCTGAGAAATGGCTCCATTCAATAAATTGGGAGGATGCTCTATGATGACTTGGGGAGGAAAAAATGTTTTTGTGTTGATTAACACAATTTCTCCAAAGTGAAAGGGATGTTTTTTAAAAGTCAATAGAGAAACCACCTTTGACTATTTCTTTCATTCATTTCTTCAGTCCTTCAGTATTGGTAGAGACTGGCCGTGTGACAGGCCCTGTGTTAAGTAGTGGCAGTGGGGACCCAGAAAGGAACTTGGTATGGCTCTGCTATGGAGGTGCCCCTCAGCAGGTGGGAGAAGGGAGAGCACACACTGTGGATGTGTATGCTACCAGAGCTTGGTCAGGTGTTTGCGGTCCTGGAATATTCAGTGGCACCTACAAACCCCCTCGCAGAGGCCACAGTGGAGAGCCCAAATGAGGCCTCTTACGTACAGGCTGGGGGACAGGTTAGGTGAACCAAAAGACCAGGAATCCTCAGTTTCCTGGACTTATTATCTAACCTCTCTGAGCCTCAGCTGCCCCAGCTTCCTCAGGGGGATGTTGCAAGAGTCAACTGAGATGATGTCGGTGGATGATGGAAGGTACTGTTTACTCAGTCATCCAGTAACTCAGACATTTATCAAGCACCTACCATGTGCTATTACAACTGTTGCTGTTATGAATTCCGCGTGAGATGTCTGTGCATAGACATAAATAGATATTTGTTAGCTTATATTCTGCAAAACAAACAAGAACCCTCACCACTTTTAGAAACTTGGATCTGCCTGCATAAGAAGCCTCTATTCTCTTTTTCTCAACTACTTTTGTAACCCTATTAGCTTGTGGTTTTCTTGACCTCCTGATCTGGGTAAAATCAGTTTAAGCTCACGCCTTCACCTCAGCACCCCAGTCCCATTTTCAGTTTAAGTCTCAAGCCTGCCCCAAGACTTCAGCAAATCTCAAAGCATTTGCATTCTCAGGGTCACCTTGACTTGGGACTCTTCCTTCTGGTCATTAGCCATGTGTGGCTGTTTAACTTAAAGTTAAACGAAATAAAAACTTCAGTTCACTAGCAGTTGTATTAACCACATTTCAAATACTCAAGAGCCACATGTGACTAGAAGCTACCATATTGGGCAGTGCAGAATGGAACGTTCCCAGCATCACAGAAAGTCCTATCAGACAGTCCTGTGTTATACTGCAGTGAGTCAAGGAGGAAACTCAGCACCCCCTTTGCTTTTCACAAGACAGCCCACAGGAAGCCTCTGTGATCCCAGTAGAGTGAGATTTGTAGGAGAGGTTTACATCCCAAACAGGGTTTACATCCCAAACAGGGTCCTACGGAACAGACATACCCCACTTCAAAATGCTCTTCAGCCTCTTCACCACAGTGGGGGTTTACTGGTCTCGCCCCTGCTGGTTCCCAAAACTAGTCCCAGCCCTTCTCCACCCTGCTGTCTCCCTTTTCTCCTCTTCCATCTCCCTTCTCCTCATTCTCCTCTCCCCCTCCTCCTTGAGACACCCCCCACCAAATGTCTCTCTTCTGCAATCTTGGGTTTCTGCTGACATCTATGCCCGCAGAGGTATCTCACTTACCCCAAATAGCTTTTCAAACTATTTTTCCGAACAATATATTTTCTCCCGAAGAATTATACTGCCAGCTGCTTCCAAAATAGTCATTAAAAAAAAAAAAAATCTAAACTCCATCTTATCTTCAGCCTGAAAACAAGGAAATACTCAAATGGCATTAAGAGCACAAATGCAAATGCTCTGTGCAGCTGCCTTGCCATCAATTTCAAATGGACTGGGAATTGGGGCTGTCCTTCCAGCCACAGAGGAGAGGAGCTGCCTGCTAAGGGTTTCCACACTGAGCTTGCGGGATTGAAATCCCAGACACATTTGCCTTTCCTGAGGACTCCAGCATGCTGCAGCTGTCATCTCCTTGAGAGAAAGGGACTAGTTGTTCTGTGAAACTTTGAGGTGAAATCGTGGACAGTCTTCCTTTGAGCAGATCCATCCAAACCTATGATTCATTGATGAACTTTTAACTTAGAGCAGGCGAGGTTTAATATTTCAGCTTAGCTTTTGGAGAACAAATATATCAGTAGTAGTCTCTACCTAGCTTGCAAGTGGGCTGAGGCAACACAGACATCAATGCTGAAGCTGTTCCCCAGGGTGACCTGGTTGGGATACCATTCTTCATAAAGTGGGTGGCAGCCATTGCTTCTCTGCAAGTAAGATCTGAAATATAAATCCTCTTTCCAAGTCTCTGGCCAAGCCCCATAAGCACCAACTTCCAGTAACGCTGTATTGACTTTGGGTCCCAGAATTAATTTAGGGAGTGTAGAGAATGTGAAAGCTTCTAGCTGAACTGGTCTTGTACCTGCTTTCTCTGTTAAGGGTAATAAAAAGTCACCCAACTTGGAGTCATTGAACTTTTCTGAGCTCGCATTTCCTTATCTTTAGACAGGAATAATCCCTCACGAAACTAGGGATAAAATGAGACAGTGCTTATGAGGGTGTTTTTTGAAACTATAAAGTGCTCTGCCCATCAAAAAAATCATCATTCTCTAAATGAGGGCCTCATTCCATCTTACCTCCTGTATTTCCTTACTGTGCTTTATTTTTCTTTATAGCATTTATCATGACTTGAAATAGATATATTTATACATTTAGACAGTATAGTTTTCTCTCTCTCTACAGATATATAGCTAACTTTCCCTACTGCTATTCTAGGCTTGCCAAATATCTGTATCTATATCTATATCTACACCTTCCATGTGAGTATAGAGAAGCATTATATATACATAATGATTTTGTTTTGTCTGTCTCCTCTAGAATGAAAGCTCTATGAGGACTTTTTTGTTCATTATGCATCCCTTACACCCGGAACAATGCCTGGCACAGAATAAGCCCTCAGATATTTGTTACATGTTGTATGATTTATATTTACATTACTTGTCAGGGACGATGTGAATCATTTTTAGGTATGTGAACTCATTTAACCTTCATGATAATAACTCTATGAAACTGGTGTTGTATCCATTTTCCTTTAGCCCATTTACTGAGTAGGAACGAACTTATTGAGGTACACGTGGAAACTAGCTGTATTTTTACTTACTTTGAAAAATCGCCTTCAGAGTTCTCTGTCCAACTCTTCCTGTTCTGATGATGATGTCTTCAGAGGAAATCCCACAGCATCTGGCCATGTTCACCCATCACATCCGTCTTGGTTGAATAATTACAGCTCATTCTCAGCTATTAAAAAGTGCAGTTCAGTCCAATTTAAAACTTCAATCTCACATCTAAGTCAGGGCTTCTTCCTCCTTGTGGCTTAGAATTTGCTCTGGGAAAGAGGGGTAGGGTCAGCTTTTTCTCCTTCCTTTTCTGGCTCCTCCAGGGTTGGGGGTGGGAGACAGTGGAGGAGGAAAGGCAAGAGTCATTCGACCAACTGGTGCTCACTGGGGGCTTCTCCTAGCTATCAATGCCTTCTGCTATGACTGTCACCCAAATGCTGGGGCCAGGGGTCCTGTCATAGGTTTTGGGGGAGCCACTGTGGATCTCTGTCCACATTAACTGAGAGATGCACTCTCTAGCCAACCTCCTACCACCTCCACTCACAGGCTGCTTTGGCCCTGCAGGTAACTGAGGAGTCCCTCTGTCACTCTGTTATTGTGTTGGAAGCTTCTGGCCAACTCACTGCACACTGTTACACCCTGATTCTTAGAGATGCCCAGAGGAGCCCCACAAAGCAGAACTGGCAGATAGAACTCAATGAAGCATAAACAAAAAATAGCTTTGCTTTGTTCCAAGTTTGTCTGTGGCTCACTTCCTTCCCTGACCCCTGATGGTTGCATGGCAGATTGAATAGCTTTTGGGTTATTGATTATAAGAACAAGCATCTTCTCAATAATTTAGACTCTCTTTTAGATGTTAAAACTCCATCCAGTCCAGTTCTTGAATTTAAAACTGCAGTCTCACATCTACTTCAAAACTCCTCCCTAGCCCAGCTTGGGTCTGCCTATCTCTGGCTTGGACACCCACAGTAAGGAAGGGAAGAGTGTGATCTGATCTTCTTCCCTTCCCTGGCCTTTCCCTCCTGCTCCTGGTCCCTTTAGGTGTGTTAGACTGAGAAAAA